GAATTTGCCCTCCACGATTATGTCATCGCGGTAGGGTCGCGTTTTTCCTTAGCGCTTAGAATGGCACGAATTAGTCTTTGCGCTTATGTATCCGCGGATAAGGGCTTCGCGGATTTGTGGTGGAACCAAGTCAGGCTAGCTCTGACGTTTCCCACGCACAAATGATACAAAAACATCCACTGGCAGCCCCTCCCCCCTCCCCCCCCAGCAGTCCATTTCCAGCAAACCAGAGCTCACCAAACTATTTTGAGAACACTGAGATGCTTTGGGGTAATCCATATATTTTCTCATGGCCTTGGGACAGTTACAAACTGGATCTGGGTTTTATCACTTGTCATTCCATCCCTCTCCCGAGTTTCATTCATTACAAACACAGCTTTATTACCCTTCCATTTCCCCTCCCTCCAACCAGACTTTGACGGCGGGATGCCTGTGAGGCGCCAAGCCGAACCAGGCAGAGCTGACACCCTACCTTTCTCTGGCACGGACCCTCTGCTGGAACTTCCATCTTGCTCAGCAGGCGCTTTGACCATTCCCACATTCCCAGAGGGGGAATGTGTGTCGGCAGCATCTAAACTGCAGTGGGGGCTTCTGGGGCACAGCCTCCACCAGGAGCCCCTTCCTCTCTGCCAAGCAACTGGGTGAAGGCAGGACGGGGCTCAATGTTAAGCAACCTGCAGCTCTTGGGAAGAAATTGTGCCAAGCGGGAGGGACGCCCAGCAGGGAGCTTCCAGTTCTGCCTCTCTTAATTGCCATCTACAATTTTTCTAGAAGCTTCTGCTCAGTCAAGCAAAGCGGAGCCACCGAGGGGCAGCTTAGAGCTGCGCCAGGGCACAACGGAGGCCCAGGTGGCAAAGCTGCTGCTGCTATTCAGCTCTTGGAAGTCTTGGAATTGCAACGATTCAGGCAAGAATTGGGGGTGGGGGAGCCCCCCCACCTGGGAAGCCACGTCCAGGGGGTCCTTGCAGCCTCCGAGGTTCCTCCCCATTGCACAACACCCTGGAGACACTTGTGCAGGCAGTTCATTCATTGACCCAAGTTACAACAGCACTGAAAAAAGTGACTCGGGGCCATTTTTCACACTTATGACTGTTGCGTCATCCCCATGGTCACCTGGTCAAACTCTGGATGCTTGGCAACTGACTCATATTTATGACGGTCGCAGTGTCCCGAGGTCACATGATCCCCTTTTGCAACCTTCTGACAAGCAAAGTAAATGAGGAAGCCGGATTCACTTAACAACCGGGAAGAAAGGTTGTAAAATGGGGCAAAGCTCGCTCCACTGCCTTGCTTAGCAATGGAAACATTGGGCTCAGTTATGGTCGTAAGTCGAGGACTGCCTGCAGAATCTTAAAGGAACTTACCTGGTTCGCTGAGGGCAAAGCACCCCACCTTCTCCCCACTGGTGAAAGGAGGGATCCACTGCTCTCTCTGCTCTTCATACCCAAACTTCAAAACCGGCCCTAGATACAACGACTCAAGACACAAAAGGATGCCTGTAAATCTCCCTTGGGGACCCCCCCTCCTCTGACCCTCTGGGGAGCAGCCAGGGCCCCTCCAGGCAGGGCGGGGCCACTGGGGCCGCAGTGGGCGGTCGGAGGAGGGGCCGCCGGTGGGACCTACGTTGTTGACGCTCATGACGACGCCGGTAGACGCGCAGCCACGGCTGATCTCCTCGGTGGCGACGGTGTAGGCCAAGCAATCCAAGCCGGCCCCTCTGTATTTTTCAGGCACAGCCATTGCGAGAAGGCCGAGCGCCCCCATTTTCTTAATCTGGAAGTGGGAAAAATGAGGTTACGGAAGGGACTTGGGGAGGGGGGGCAGCCCAGAGGGAAAACCCAGCAAAGCAATTTAGTTCCGAGTGTCCATCAAGTTAGTGGCAGTTAGTGGCAACGATCCGGGATCTACCCTCAAGCTAGAACGTTTATGCCCGGCTGGGCAACTCTGGCAATGTTACGACCTGTGGACTTCAACTCCCAGAGTTCCTGAGCCAGCCATGCCAACAGTGGAAGTCGACAGGGTGTAAAAGGGACGTAATTGCTCAATTTATGCCCTTCCTTGCTTGTAGCTCAGAGCAATTTATGTTCAACAAGGACACACCAAGCAAACACAAATCAGGGCAAAAGGTATTGAGGTGACACACAGGGAGAGAAAACAGGAAATGGTGGCTGGAGAGTTTAGTTCTCCTGCAAAGAAGCTTTTTCCCTTGAGAAGTAAAAGGCCTGCATTGGGGGGGGGGGCAGGATTGGCCATGCCAGGAGGGCAGGCAGAGCAGCCCAAGTGGGGGTTCCCTGCTGGAGGGGCCAAGAGGGCCCCCCGGGGCCTTGCAAAATGGAGGAAAGTTTGTCCACAGGAAGCAAATAAATCTGAAGTACAGGTAGTCCTCGACTTACGTCCACAATGGAGATCAAAATTTCCATTGCTAAGTGACATAGTTGTTGAGAGTTTTGCCCCATGTTATGATCTTTCTTGCCACAGTTGTTAAGCAAATCACTGTGGTTTAAGTTAGTAACACAGTTGTTAAGTGAATCTGGTTTCCCCATTGACTCTGCTGGTCAGAAGGTCACAAAAAGGGAATTTTAAGCCCAGATGGGATGGCTGAGAAGCCCCCAGGCCCAAGAGGATCACGTGACCCCGAGCTCTCTGGACTTCTCGGAAGAGCCACTTTGGTCGCAAATCGAGGACTACCTGGAAGTCAATCAGATCAGTCCGGCAGAGATCATTCACCTTCGGCAGGGCCAGAAGCCGAAAGCGCCCGGCAGCTGCAGCCGCCCCTCCCCTCCTGCTCCTCCTCATGCCCCGCCGCCCCCTTGCCAGTCGGACCTGCTCGGCGGGGAAGCGGTGGTCGCGGTCGAGGCGGGCGGCGAGAGGCGCCAACTCCTTGGCGGCGAAGTCCCGGCAGGTCTCCCGCAGCATTCGGTGCGTCTCGGGCAGCCCCGCGTGCAGCAGCCGCGCTGGAGGAGGAAGGGGGGAGGGGCTCAGCGACCTCGCCCGCCGCCCCTGCCAGGTAGGCCGCCCGGGAACAGCCGGAGGGTCCCTCCCGAAGCCCCGCTGACCTCCGCGGGCACCAAGGACGCCCCGAAGCCCCGCCGAGGCTACCAGCGCCGCCATTGCCTCCGTCCACGCCCATCGGAGGGCGGGGGCCACGTGGGCGCTGCGGATCCGCCTTCCTGTCGTGGGGGGGGGCGGGGGGGCCGTTGGGAGTCCCGCGCGGGGGCGGGGGGGGGCTCGGCCTTCCTGGGACTTGGCAGCGTCCGGCCAAAGAGCCTCGTCCTGCCCCGGGATGGAGGAACTGCCGGAGGGGGGTCGGAAGGGGGACTGATTTACTTGCGAGAAAACGGGGAGGGGGAGACACGGCGGTTTCTTTTCTCGCTCCGCTTCACGGCTCCGTCCTTGAATGGAGCTTCTGTGCCCGAATATAAGAGAGTTGTCGGAATCCGTTTCCCAGAAACTGCACCTCTCGGGGACGTTTGCTGCAGCCAAACGAAACCCTGTGCAGAAGGTTTGGTCACAAAACGAGGATGCAGCTTCTAAATTTCCAAATTGTCCCAAGAAATCAAGGAGAGCAACCGATGGAGGCCCCGGAATCCTACCCAACTGACCTTTCTTCCTCCACTTCTGGATGAGAGAGAAGCAGGTCTCTTGGCCACTTGAAGGCTGCTATAATACGCTCCACCGCCTGCGTCTCTTTCTTCCCTCTTTTGCAATAATCACAGTTGAAAATGACCACGGAGGCCAGCAAATCCAATCCCTGGGTCAGCAGAGAAATCCCATTTAACTCCTCACCAAAGAATTGAGAATTCTTTATCAATCAATCAGAATAGTTGGAAGGGACCTTGAGGTCTTCTAGTCCACCCCCCTGTTCAAGCAGGAAACAGACCATTTCAGACAAATGGCTGTCCAGTCTCTTCTTAAAAACCTCCAGTGATGGAGAGCCCACGACTCCTGTCGTTCCACTGGTTAATTGTCCTTTTGGGAAATGTCTTAGTTCTATGTTGCTTCTCTTCTTGATTCTATTTAGAAGGTGAAACTCAAAAAATTAGAATATCGTGCAAAAGTTCATTTATTTCAGTAATGCAACTTAAAAGGTGAAACTAATATATGAGCTAAGACTCATTACATGCAAAGCAAGATAGTTCAAGCTGTGATTTGTCATAATTGTGACAGCTCATGAAAACCCCAAATCCACCATCTCAGAAATTACATGCAATCAATAAAACAAGGATTGTACA